AAGAGTTTCTCTTTCCGAAAAGAGGAAGGCTCAAGTACTTCATCCTCGAAATCTTTACTCCACGGACAAAAGAAATGGCATAAACTTATCTTATCAATTTCTTTCATGGCGCCAAAAGTTGTGCGAGAAATTATTAGCATGGAGCTGGCATGCATCCAAATGAGCGAGCTTGATGGCTGGCATTATGTAATGAACTGATTCCATGTCTATTAGCCGTTGTCTGATGTCTAAATGTGCTCGTTGTCGACATAATAACCTTGATAACATATAGAAGCAAGTAGCACGAAAAGCATCGCTTCAATCAAAGTCATTCTTGACAAATTGCGTTTAAACTAATTAAAGCTACTAGGACGCTAATTATGAGCATCTCAAAAGCTAGTCCATGTTAATTATCGCCGAGGAAGTGCCATTTATCCACAAGGATATGTATACATTTCGGAGGTGACCAATATGATCTGATAGTATTATCTCTTCAAATTAATATTTCGGCTCATTAAGTAAAAAAAATGGCTGATTAAAGTGATAGCGTGCCTAAGGTTGAAGCCACTCATGAGTTGGAATATTACCTTTCCTAAAATATGTTAACAATATATTTATTTCAACATTTAAGGAAGGGAATTTCAGTGATGTAATAATTGTGATATTGGATACAGTTAGCTTTTAAGTTTTGATGATACATGAGCAGATGAGCTCCTATCTTCCATTGTTTCATTATTTTTAACCATCCAAAGCTTCTACCAAGTGATATCTCGTCGTGCTTTATTGTTATGCCAAAACTTCAAAATTTTGAAAAAAGAATAGTAATCTTTACTTTTGCAAGTCGAGAGCGAGAGGTATACTTTCGTACGTGCACAAAGAATGTTGTGGCATTAAACTTTGACGCACAAAGAATTTTGTGCTAGATTATCGTGGTATCATTTTCTGTAATTTATCTTTTTATAATATTCTATTTTTCATAATCTAACAAGCACAATTTGATTCGAAAACCCCATTATGAGAAAGCCTAATTTGGGGGTGGGGGGGGAACCATTTTTTGTGTTTTCCAGCCACTTCTCGGTTGTTTGGTTAGTGCAAAAACAATTCCAAATCCCAGAAAACCACAATTTCCATTGTTTGGTTAGTGAGTAAAAAGTATGAAACTATATTTTTAATAATTTGTACTCCTTTATTTATTTTCCAACCTGTTTCGGCTTGAAATACTCAGAAACCAGTTTCGCTAAAAAACGAACGCGGGCTAACGTTTTGGGAATCCACTTCTCAAGAAAATGGCTTGAAACTAGGGGTGCTAAACCGTATCCGTATTCGAGGAAATATCCGTAACCGTATCCGTTAGGATACAGATATGGTTACTCAAATCTATAACCGATAGGATATGGTTACGAATATGGTTTTATAGTGAAATATCTGTATCCGTATCTGAAATATCTGAATACATATTAGACATACTCTTACGATAGTTTTGATTCTTAGATTATGGATTTATGGTTAATTTTGATGATCAATATGTTTAATCTTAACTTTTTAGATATAATGAACATGTAAACGAACTCTTTTGTATCACATGAACTATGTTTTTCTCAATATTATCTAGCTTTCTCATATCCGTTTTGTATCTGCATACATATCCGCTTATATATCCGCATGTATATCCGTAACCGTATCCGATTTTAGCGGATATGGATATGAATTTTCCTTACCAAGGTATATCCGTATCCGTAATCATATCCGAGATGAGTAAGTGGATATGAATATGGTAGGCATCATATCCGAGCCGTATCCGGACCGAATGCACCCCTATTTGAAACAAACAGTGGCAGTGGGATACATTTTTGGAAAAAGTTGTGTAGTTTCCCAGAAATAATTTTTAGCATGTTTCCCAAGTATTTTAGCCGAACCAAACAGCTGTGTGAACGCATTTATTGTGGGGGCCACCCACGTGCAAGGCTTCAAGGCCCACCCGATTTCACAATTGTGGCTATAAATGCACACGGAAACAATTCTAGGGTTGCGCAGGAGGTTGGTTTTTCTTTTCTCTTTGCGGCTGCGGAAGGCAGAGGTGCAGGAGATTTTGGCCTTTTTTATTAAAGGCGGCTGCGGAAGAAATTTCGGTAGCAGGAGA